AGGGGGCACGAGGGGGGGGGGGGGGCACTGCACACTGGCCACAGGGGAGCGGCTCAGACCTTCTCGGACAGGCTTGACTTGATGACTGTGAGGAGTCTGTAAATATACGTGGGTTCGAAGGCAGCTCCAGGGCGGATATCCCTCACCGTTTTATCCCCAAGAGCTGCAATGGAAACAGGACGCAGGTTTTCGTAACCAACACGAAGTCATAAATGATGGAAAGCAACACCACCAAAGCTCCCTCCCCACAACACACTGAATGGTGAGAACAGCGCGGGTGTAGTAGCCTATACTGCAGAAGACATTTTCTTCCCAAAAAGACAATTGACAAACTCGGTCACCTGACTGCATGACTGTCGATATGGAACAGCATCAGAAGCACTCACTGGTACTCACCTTGTCGGGGTTTTGGAGGTACTGGCATGTTGGTAAACTCGTTCATCAGCCGGACACTAAACATGGAGAGCAGGCGTTAAGCTGTGTGTTCTCGTGAAGACACACTTACTAAAAGCCTGGGTGACTGAGGAGGGTGTTGTACAGGCAGTAGGAATGGAGCAGACTTTAGATGACTAATGCTGTAATGGCTAGTGAGTTCTCAGATCTTTTCTAAGTATGTCTGGGCTGTGTTTTCAGTGATACAAGCTGGTGAACACTAATATATTTTTACTGAATGTAAAGCATGCACATAAACAATACTGCTATTCCATTTCTGGTTAATTTTCATATAAAATCATAATACATTTATTTTAAAAATCCCAGAATTATAGGACTCATTTGTAGCAAATCAAGAACTCTGTGAACCTATTAAGTTCTAATTATCAGAGGGGAGGCCACTCCCCTATGGTCTTTCCAGACACCTTACTTACAAGCTATCAATCATAGGTGTTGACGTGCAAGGCCTTTGCACTTTTGAATACAGAGGGATGAACTTCATCAGGTGATACATCGGCGGGCAAGCCACCAGAGCCCGCAGCGGCTGCCCCGGGGGGACTGCATGACTGTCGATATGGAACAGCATCAGAAGCACTCACTGGTACTCACCTTGTCGGGGTTTTGGAGGTACTGGCATGTTGGTAAACTCGTTCATCAGCCGGACACTAAACATGGAGAGCAGGCGTTAAGCTGTGTGTTCTCGTGAAGACACACTTACTAAAAGCCTGGGTGACTGAGGAGGGTGTTGTACAGGCAGTAGGAATGGAGCAGACTTTAGATGACTAATGCTGTAATGGCTAGTGAGTTCTCAGATCTTTTCTAAGTATGTCTGGGCTGTGTTTTCAGTGATACAAGCTGGTGAACACTAATATATTTTTACTGAATGTAAAGCATGCACATAAACAATACTGCTATTCCATTTCTGGTTAATTTTCATATAAAATCATAATACATTTATTTTAAAAATCCCAGAATTATAGGACTCATTTGTAGCAAATCAAGAACTCTGTGAACCTATTAAGTTCTAATTATCAGAGGGGAGGCCACTCCCCTATGGTCTTTCCAGACACCTTACTTACAAGCTATCAATCATAGGTGTTGACGTGCAAGGCCTTTGCACTTTTGAATACAGAGGGATGAACTTCATCAGGTGATACATCGGCGGGCAAGCCACCAGAGCCTGCAGTGTCTGCACGTGGGCAGTAAGGAAGCGTAAAGGAAAGAAGCGAGCACGCGGGACTTCCTAGAGGCACGTTGAACACGAGGGTAGAGACCGCGTCAGTCGAGGACACCGAGCTACTCAGACGTGCAGACACAGAACGGAGTAACCCAAATACTCACTAGGATGGCTGCCTTGGAAGGGCCACGTAAGGGTTTACTGTGCAGGCAGTAGCTGATGTTCAAGAATTTAATTCAACCAAGATGATCAAATCACTTAGTACAAAATCTCCAGTTGTAAACGTGGTCACTCTACCCTATTATTGGGGACCATTCTAATGGTGACAAAACTTGTCAGATGCTGTCACTCACAGGTCAACAAATCCTCTTTCCGGGGTGGAGGGGTAGGGAGTGTCAGAAATAAACCTGTTTACAAGCTAGGTAGGCAGACCAAGTAATGAACCAAGTTTACTAATTTCAAAATCTGGGCTGGAAGCTGAACTGAGACTCATGCGGAGCAGAGGGAGGGGCCGGCGGCCTCTGGCGGCGTCCAGAAAGGATACAGCGTTAATGTAGCACCAGTTTCCTTTATTGATCAGCCCGCGGGGTTGCAGCGACACTGGCTTATGTATTAGGGTTACATTCTCCAGTAACTCTGCAAGAGTGAACAGTACATTTAAGAAATTAATGACACCTCGTGAACAGCATTTCAATTAATCCATAAGCTCTCCTCTGGGGACATACTAAAAACCCATCCAGTAAAGCACAGGCCCAAAGAAGACGCACTGCTGAGGCTTCTCCCAGTTCGGCATTAAGTATACTGCATGATGGTTACACTTTTTTTTTTTTTTCCCCAAATTATATCTTCCCCTAAACATCAACACTTAATTTATCTTACTGTGGGAGCACAAGAACTACCAATTTTAATGAGAAACCAAAAAAAGGGGGGGAGGGGGCAGCAGGTGGCATGGTGGCTAAGGGCACTGGACTCTCACACAGCTGACCATGGTTTGAGTCCCAGACCTGGCAGCTTGCTTTCTCACTGCCCCCACACTTGCTCTCGCTCTGTCCCTCTCTGGTCAAATTAAAAAAAAAACAAACAAATAAAATAAAGTTAAATAATTCTTTAAAAAAATAAATTCGATAAGGAAAAAGTGTAAGGACAACAGGTCAGTATTAGAGATCTTTAAACACAGGTTTTTTTGCTGTGCCCGTGGGTTGGTCTGAGACACACCGAGTATCCAGGTGCCTGAGATCCTGAGGAGAGGCCTGTGGTGTGCTGGAACTCTGTTGAGGGTGCCTCGTCCCCACGCACTATAATAAAAATGTTGGCTTTTCCCTTTAACAGACGGGTGGGCACGTCTCAGTAACTGTGGTCCCTCAGGCCCTAGGTCCAAAGGCACGCATATGTGCAGGGCCTGGGGCCCGGCGCTCTGAATCCCGTACCCACACCACGGGCAAGCGCTCAACAGCGGCTCGGTGAGTAGGGACGCCTCCCTGGGAGGCAGCGGGCTCCTCCCCGCTGAACTGTCTTTCCAATAGAAGCCAACCTGGCAACTGTAGCCCCTTGTTTTGTTTAGACATGAGTTTCTTAGCCTCGTTCTCCCTCTCACATCACTCCTTCAGTCTCACGATGGCTGTGAGTGCCATCTTACGTAAGTTAGCCTTCAGAAATGTTCCCAAACGAGATAAGGCCTCCCTGTGTCCCACTGAGTTAGAATGACTACAACTTATGGAGTACTCCTTAGTACCCATGAGTACTGCCACAATTACCTTTGACCAGGAAGAAAACCAAGGCTCAGAAAGGTCAACTAACCTGCCCATGGTTACGCGGGAGCTCAGTGACCTGTGGCCACACCACACTGCCTCCTTCAGGTTTACACTGGTATTGGGACAGAAAAACTACACAGGTACACACTGGATATGAGCATCGGGCCGGCCAGGTGGCAAGGTGGTGGGAGGCTGGATCCCACATGGCTGACTGTGTGGTTCAAGTCCCAGACCCAGTGGCTTTAGAAATATGCCAGGTATGTGTGCAAGCATGCCCAAAATGCACAGAGGAGAAGGAAGGAGAAGGGACTGCAGCATGGCCATCCCCCCAGGGAGAGATTTCTCACTCCCCCCTCTCCCCCCGTCTCTCTTGGGTAAGCACACATGCTCTATAACAAACAAACAAACAAAAACACGTTCTCATCCATCTACGGTATCACTCTACAAAAGCCTTTCTTTTCTAGAATACAATTGCATTGGTAGGTCCCAGCCTTATGCACTAATCAAATGAAGAAATGAATCGGCAATCTCCAATGCCCCCCACGCCCTCCTTCCTGTGAGAGGAATGTCCTCTCTCCTGAGGGGCACGAGGAGCAGCCGCGGAGGGGCTATCCTCCTCCAGACGGCCAGACCCCATGGGCCCAAGAACCCGGCGGCACCTGTTCGCTCAGACTAAGCTGGCAAAGCGCCTCTCATCTCCCTCACCGTCAGCTCTGAGGACAGGGCAGCTCCAGACCGAACTGCAAACCCCGTGCGATGAGGCCAGCAGACAACGTCCGTCACATGGTGACACCGTGCCAGGGGCCTTGTCCCTAAGGGTAATGGCTATCAGTCAGCCACAATGGGAATGGCTATCGTCCCCAATTCGGAGAAGGAAAAACTGAGGCCACACAGGACGGACCTGAAGACCTGCGCCTACCTGGTTCCAGAGCCCAGCTCTTCCAACACACATATAATGGGCTCCACTAAAATCTTTTTACTCTAAGGCTTCACTTTCTCTCTTAAGACCGTCCGCTCACGTGGACTTGCTGGTCTGTCCTTAAGACCGTCCGCTCACGTGGACTTGCTGGTCTGTCATCTCAGTCTGCCGTTCTGGTGTGCACAGACGGCAGTGACTCAATCCTCTAACAAAATTCTGTGCTTCGCACACCAGTGCCAGAACTCTAGCATGAGGGCATTCTGAGCACAGGGCAAGTGAAGACTCCAGCGTGACATCTTTGCTGGAGTGGGTTTACATCTAATAACTATTCATGTTAAGTTCTTATGTAATCGTTACACTCCAAATCAATGGCTTCCCTAAAGAGGGGCTTGTGTTAAACTGAAATGCCACCTTTGCTGGCTGGCATTTGCTGAGCCGGCCTGGGCACTGGAGCACAGAGGAGTGAAAGGTGGACCTGCTCCAGGCGCCCTTGCAGACAAGTGGACGGAGGGCCTCTGCTGCACCAGCAGGTGAACGGAAGGGTGCTGGGGACAAGACCCCTCAGCTCAGTTCAAGGACTGTGGAAACACAGGAAGTCGAAGCTAAGGATGGATACTTAGGGAGGTGCACCGTGACAGGAGGAGATGGCTGCGGGCCAGGCTGCAGTGCTCCCCGTTCGGGGGAACACAGCAGGGGGAGCAGATCTCCTGTCCTGTGGGGTGATGAGCTAATGAGTTCCGTGTACAGGTGAGTGAGGGCCCCAGATGGCACGGGCAAACGTGTGTGCTCACAGACACACACAGGCTCCTGCAGGCCGGGCCTGGGAGTGTACATTCGGATGACACAAACAGCCTCGCAAGCAGCAGGTCAGAACGCAAGAGCGGGGACAGCAAGTGTGACTACTCAGCCGGAAGCATGGCCGAGGAGGGAGGCAGCTTCACAGAGGGATGCGGCTGAGGCTCCTGGCTCCGGTGGAAGAAGGAATGAAGTAACCACCTCGATTTTCTTGGCATGGGAGGCAAAGCCTTCTAAGGCAGGGTTGGTAAGTACAGAGGGGTTTGGGGACGACCGGAAGACACTCTCCTGCCCAGCAGGGAACGGCGGGAAATACGAAGAATCGACCAGGGACATGACATCAACCTGAAACTTCCCATCAACTATTCTACTGACCCCAAAACACGCTTAATGGCTTGAATTCACAGCTTACGTTTAAAAATAATCTTTTATGACAAGATTAACTACTTTCGAAAGGGAACCAGCTGCACTGAGTTGCATTTGAGGATGCAGCACCTTCTGTACTCTGAACTGACCTGGGGGCTTCAACACGGAGGCCTTACAGGACAGAACACGCCTAGCCAAAGCGAGTATGAAGTGATCCCCGTCCAACACTTACTTGGGAAACAGCATGTAAGTCGGACAGAAAACTTGTTTCCTTATCAACCTTTCCCTTGAACTGATGTTACCTTCTGGTTTGCTTATTTTGAGGGGCTAGCAGGTTTAAAATAAAAAAGGCAATTTCACTGTTTAGTGTCCACAGTATTAAGTTCAAGTCTTTCAGCATCACCTAGTGGCTGAATCGGTAACTGCAAATAACAGAACACTTCCCAGAGAAGCGTATCTGCAGTATCAAAAGAGCAAAAACGGAGACAACACACTGGGTTGTCGGAAAAGTCATGGCATGGTTTTCTTTTTCTATGCAAAAATCATGATTTTTCCAACAACCCAATAAAATAAAAAGGATTCCTAGGATATGTACTAGAGAATGTACTCAAATCAACATTTCTTCAAGCCTTTAACTTCCTTTAAAGAACTTTCTGTATAATAGACTTTTTTTTAACTGCCAGAGGGCATGTGTATGCACCAGAAAGACACAGAGAGATATCAGAAAAAGACACAGCGACAGAGAGAGGGAGAAAGCGCCCCTCAATGGGGTGTGGGCATCCACAATCCCTCCCTCACTCTCCACCCTGTTGGAATTTTGTGTGTATATGGGCCGAGTGTGATTTACAAGCTGCCAAGATGGACTCAAACCACAGTCAGCCATGTGGGATCCGGACCCCTTAGGCACTAGGCTACAGGGCCTGGCCCAATATTCTTAAATACAGAATAAATCCTTACAGAATAGAAAAATACAGAGAAGTGACACTCGACAACCTAGATTTTCTTAGTTATTATTTTGTTATACCAGAAAGCTTTTCCATAGTGGCAAGTCTTCCAGAAACTATAGAGTCATTCTGTTATTAGTATACGCTAATGACCCTGACTCCTACTTGCAAAGTAAGGAAGGCTGATTGATCGACTGAAAAGGCTCCTCCTTGAAGCCACCTACGAACTTCTGCACCAGGCCCCTCCCCAGTGTGGACATCGTCCCCACCACCACTTTCTGCTCCACAGGGTCCTCCCTACTCAGGTACAGGGTGATGGGCCTGATGGCCTTCTCTGTCCCCATCTCTCACTGCTGTCCCCACTGCCACCTGAGGTCTTCCTCTTTGCCTCTTTTCCATACACCCTCTACAAATGACTGCTTCTCTTCTTTCTGCTAGTAAGAACTGCCATCTGGGGACCAGTGGGTGGTGTAATGGTTACATCACTGGACTCCCACATAGTTGGTTTGAGTCCTGGACCTGGTGGCTTAAAACTCACGCTGCGGGAGGTTGGCAGGTGGCATGGTGGTTAAAGGTGCTGGATCCCCACATGGTCAATCACGGTTTGAGTCCCAGACCTGGCGGTTTGCTTTCTCACTTTCTCTCTCTCATTCTGTCCCCCTGGTCAAATAAAAATAAACAAATGAATAAATAAAGTTAAATTTAAAAATTAAAAAAAAAAAAGAAAAACCTCACACTGGGTGCATGTGCATGTGTGCCCAAAATCCCAAGAGGAGAATAGAGAAGGGGCCCCAGGGGGTGATTTCTCACTTTCTGCCTCTATCTCTGTCTCTCCAGTGAGCACACGTGTCCTATAGCAAAACTCTCTCCCTTGAAAGAAAGAAAGAAAGAAAGAAAGAAAGAAAGAAAGAAAGAAAGAAAGAAAGAAAGAAAGAAAAGAAAAGAAAAGAAAAGAAAAGAAAAGAAAAGAACAGAACAGAAAAGAACAGAACAGAACAGAACGGATGGACGGACTGCCATCTGCCTTCTTACCTTCTGCCTTAGCCTGCCCTCAGGCAAGACCAACTACGACCCACTGGCCAGGACAGAAAAGACATACAGTGAGTACCCATCAGAGAGTGAAGATGGACAAACATCTGGAGAGGAAAGCAGATGACTTCATTCCAGTTTGCCAGAAATGACCCGACAGACTGGAAAGATCATTTTACCTCACGGTTCAGGTAATTCAGACAGTCCGCAGTCCTCACAGAGAAGCACACGAAAGGCAGAGCCAGGCCCACGGTCCAGAAAGGCCTGGTTCACACCATGCCTCTGTGACTTCACCCACTCAGGCTGAAGCAGGTCACGTGACGCCTCCCCTTTAGAGGAGGGCAGTGCCATGTGTGCCACGCAAGGACAGTGCTGGCAGTGACCAGACCTGGCATGAAGGCCAGTGCCCTGGGGACACTCCATGATCTTTACTAGTAAGTAAGGAGCGAGGCTAGCCAGGGATGCCGTGGTTGCAACAGCTGGATCCCACGTGGCCAGCTGTGCGGTTCCAGTTCTGGGCCCAGAGCCTTGAAAACAAGCTGGGCACATCTGTGTATGTGCCAGAAATCCCAAAAAGATGGAGAAATGGAAAAAAAGGGACTGTGGCATGACCAATTCCCATCAGAAGGGTACTTTCTCACTTCATCTCTCTGCTGAGCTCATGCATCCATTGGCAAAAATTACAAAAAGTAAAAATAAACTGACATAAGAAGGAAGAGAAGAAAAAAGGAAATTCATTTAGTCAAGACTTTGAGAAAAACTTTTTAGCAACTCAAGAAGAGTTAGCCTGGAACCAGCAATTAGCGTAATGGCTTTGTCACTGGACTCCCATGTAGTCAACTGCAGTTCGTGTCCCGGACCTGGTGGCTTAAAACTTACACCGGGCGCATGTGCGTGTGTGCCCAAGATCCCAAGAGGTGAATGGAGGAGAAGAGATTGCAGCATGGCCATCCTACCGGGGGTGATTTCTCGCTTTCTGTCTCTGTCTCTCTCTCTGGCGAGCGCACGCACCCTATAGCAAAAACCTCTCAAAAAAAAAAAAAAATGTTAGCCTAAATTCCCTAAAATTTTGAGAAATTTTAAACATTTTCTGCAATTTTCTCTTAAAATCCAAGTACCAGGACCAGCAGATGGCATAACAGTTACAGCACTGGACTCCCACGTAGATGACTACATGTCGACTGTCCTGCGTGTGCAAAGCATGAATGCCCCAAGTACCAAGAAGAGAATGGCAGAGAAGGAACTGCGGTGTGGCTATCCCCCAGGGGTGATTTCTCGCGTTCTCGGTCAATCAATCTCTCTCTCTCTCTCTCTCTCTCTCTCTCTCTGGTGAGTACACATACTCTATAGCAAAAAACTCTCTTTTAAAAAAAAGGTTCATCTCTCTGAGAAATCTTCTAACATAAAGAAAAACTGAGCTGCTTAACATCCTTTCTTTCATTTCAAAACAGAGTATTCATAAATGCTGCCCTCGATCGCTGAACTAGTTTGTAAGAGGAAGGGTCTCAACTCAGTTCCATAAGAGTAGAGCTACAGAATAAATATAAGCAAGGACATATACATAGTGAATCAGATTATGAACACGATTCTCAACCCACCGAGTGTGGATTCCTGCCAACAGACAAGTACCAGGCCCTTTACCACGGGCATGCTGCATTAGCACTGCTACTTTAGAGAGTCAGAAAAGAAAATAAAAAAATTTGAAACTGTTTTCCAAGCAATGTATTTATGACTTCTAAACCCCAGAATAAAGGTCGGCCTTAGGATATATCCTCATTTAAACGCCGAGTAAATAAAGACACGAGAACTCATTACTCATTGCTCTGAGCAGACCCACCTCATAATGATGGCTGCTCTCTCAGCAACAGCTTTTAGGCCTAAAGCCGCTGTGCAAAATCATGTACCAGTTAGATTTGACTACAAGTCTCAGTAAACTACATTGCTAGAGAGATACTCGGACAAAATCTTTTAAGAGCTGCTGAAGACTTCAGTTTACCTAGTTCTCTTTCACTGACGTTAACTTGGTCTAGTCTCCCTCCTTGTTCAGAACTACATATAAGCCTTTAAAACAAGGAACACTGTTGCATGATTTTAAAAACGAACAGGTTCCATGAAAGCCTATGTTTAAGCTCGGGCCTCCCTGCACAGTCACCCAGAGTCTGAGCTGGCGGAGGGAAGGTAACACGAGGGAGACCCCACATTCCTTGCATCTGTCCTACCTATTCTTGAACATGAGGATGTTTGACAGTGCAACCACTTCCCAAACATAATAATATTTTCAACTTTCAGGGCAGAAGGTAGAGTAGTGGTTAAAGTGCTGGACTCTCACAGGGCCAGCCCCGTATTGAGTCCTGGACCTGGAGCTTGAAACTCATGCTGGGCATGAGTGCATGTGTGCCTAAAATCCCAGGAAGAGAGTGAATGAGAAGGGTTTGGAGTGTGGCCGTCCCCTCTGAGGGGCAATTTCTCACTTCTCGCTCTCTGCCTTTGTCTCTCTGGCAGGCGCATGCACCCTATAGCAAAATATCTCTTAAAAGAAAATAAATTTGCTGTGGGGCAGGACATACTATATCCACCAAAAATAGTTCCTTGAATATTTGGTAACAATGTGCTCCTTCACTCACACAGGTGATAGGAAGGCCCTGCTTTCACAGTGCTTGACAGAGCAGGTTAACAATCGGACTTTAACACATGTGGGATACAGCAAGCCATGGAGCAAGCCCCCTTCAGTCTTACAAATGAGCAGAGTATTTTAAACACTTAGAATTAAAATAAGTAAATAGAATAATGATTGAAAATGTGATGTAAGTGGGAGGCTTTCCCCTTTGTGGATTTTAGGAAGAAAAGCACCATCACAACGCTCTCATGACTCAGAACTCACACCGTAAAAACATCCAACCACGCTTTTTACTCAACATTTACTAAGTGACTTTAACCTTATGAACCTAGGTAAGGCCTGCACTGTCCTACCCTGTCAAGTGGCCCTACAATGAAGGCATTAAGGCTGTAAAGAACCCTCCGGATTTAAGTACAAGCACGAAGTGCGAATAAGGTTAGCCGGGCTGGCAATTCTTTTCTTTTAAGAGAAAGCCAGAGCATCAAGATTATTCAAAATAAGATACTTTGTGTATAAAATAAAATGACCGTTTTAAAAACTGATGGCTTACTGGCATTTCAGCGCCCTCCAGTGTCTCACTCAGACGGGCCTCTGCCCACCCCCAGGGCCAGCTCGGCGTCCACCTCCGGCCATGTGACGCAGGCGGCCGTGAGACCACGATGCAGGTCAGAGGGTGAGGCCCCAGTGAGAGGCTTACGTGCAATCAGTAATAAAGCTAGGATGTGGGCACAGCGGGACCCCAAGCGCCTAGTCGCGGGCTGAAGAAGGAACTTCGTCTGTCGCCATGGACACGTATGTACATACATCCCTCTGCGTTTCTGACTTCCTACTTGGGCCTGAAACAAAGTGCGAACCGCCGGCTTATATTTTCCTTGTGAACTAACTGTTCGTACTTCAGAGCCTCAGCACTTTCAAATGAAATGTTAACTTTGGTCTGAATTACTCTGGTCTTTCTCCTCCTATCAAAAGTTTACCTCAGTGTGCTAACACTATTGAATAAAGCCCATCCACTCAAACCAGATTAGGCATTAAAAAGTAAAACCCTAAATTATTCATAAAACGCTTTCGTATAGCCTATGAAACATAAAGAAGAATGGTGCAAACAGCAGCTGTGACTGAGGACATTCACCGAGGGGAGGAGAACTCATCAAAGGCAAGAAACGGAAATGTGATTTGCCAGCACAGAAGGACCTGAAACAGACAGGATTCTTCACGTCACACAAGGCAGGGCACCCCTTCTCCCTCTTGGTTTCCAGGTTACCTTACTTTCACAGCACCTTAGGACACAGCCATTCTCTGGAAATTGCTACCCACACACTGGCCATCGAGGGCTCCGGTAACAATCCATGACAGTCCGTCAGCCTGGGCTGTCCCGCGTCTCAATGGCCAGCGAGACCGGCTCCCCTCTCCACTGTGACCTGCACCTTTGTGACTATACCTGCGATCTTTATGGCTACGGGATCCTCTGAGACTGGAACAGGCCCTTCTTTGACTTCAGCCTGCTTTTCAGAGACCAGGGGAGATGTGGCAGGAGGGGAGTACTTAGTTTCCACATAGGCCACGGGCGAGGAGGAGGTGGGCTTAGAATCGTGAAAGAGACTGGCCCAGGACTTAGCGGGCTGGCTGCCAGGACTGGCGCCCGCCGCAGAGGCCGCACTGTCGGCAGGCGGTGAAGCGCTCCCTGCTTTCCTGGGGTCTGAGTCTGTGCTCTCCAGGGTGTGCAGCTCCACCCCGTTGGCAGCTGTGCCCTCCCCCGAGGATTCAAGTATCTGTCCGTTAGCAACTCCGAGGTTTTCAGTAGTATCGGTACCGACGTAGGGCTGAGCCACAGCGGTCCTTAACAGGCTGCCTCTGCCCATCTCGGCAGGGAGGCAGGAGTGTCCAAAACCAGTCCCATGGCACCCCCCAGGCTGCCCTGCAGTCCTGGCCACACTGTCAAGGGCTCCAGGGAAAGGGCCATCAGGCACAGTGTCCCTGACAAAGTCCGTGGAGTTCTGAGGGCTATTACAAGTCCTAGGCGTGACCGACGAGGGCACATCGCCCACAAACTCAGCGTCGTCTGTGCCCACACTGCTGGGGTCCGCAGAATTGGTGTGGCCGTTGACCAGAGCTTCTGTGGGAATAGCACTGTCACTGCCATCTTTCAAGTAACTGTAATATCCGGGCGGCCGCTTCTTCTTCTTTTTACGCTCCCTCTGTCCAAGACCCCCCGAGCCTCCGTCATTCTCCAAGACATCCACCTCCACGCTGGGACTGCCGTCCAAAGTGAGGGCAGAGTCAGGGTACTGGCCGTCGACGGAGCTGTGGTTTGCATCCCTATCAATTCCATCGGGGGTCTTTTTGGGTGCCGTGCAGCCAAGAATGAACTCAGGGGCCTGAGGGTTCAATGTGCTGGAAATACTGTAGCTGAGTCTCGGCGCAGTGCCACTGGGCTCAGTCACTTCATTAACACCAAACTCAATCCTCTGGTAGTCTTGTCCTGGGCAGAGAGAAAGCGGTCAGCAAAATCCCATGCGGTAAGAACACAGCTCCCCAAAATATCACGGGACCAGTAACTACTCACTTTCCTTTTGAAAGCTGAAACCTTAAACTCTTTTCCTAATTAACAAAGTGATGACCTATTTTACTTCTGTGCTGAATAATTTGTTGAAAATACATAACTATAAAACTATATTTAATTTGAGGCATAAAAACAGAAGCCTATAATTATCTCCAACTCTCTGGGTAGCCAAAGAAGATCGTCAGAAGGTAGATATTAAAATGAATTTGTGAAACCAGCAGATAGCATAATGGTTATGTCGTCGGACTCCCACATAGTCAATCTCAGTTCAAGTCCCAGACCCGGGGGCTTAAACACACCAGGGGCATGTGCATGCATGCCCAAAATCCCAAGAGGAGAATGAAGGAGAAGGGATTATGGCATGGCCATCCCCATGGGGGGGGGGTGATTTCTCGCTTTCCGTCTCTGTCTCTGTCTTTGCAGTAAGCGCACGCACCCTATAGCGAAAATCTCTCTTACAACAATAAAAAAACAATTTCTAATAATAAGCAAATACTATTTTGCCTTTTTAAAAAGACCCCTCAACGGAAGAAAGGACTACAACATGACCCACTATACCCACTACAACATCCCACTCTAGGTGCTTTCTCTCTCTCTAAATTAAAAAAATTTTTTTAATTAAAAAAGGTCTACATTTTTTAATGGAACCTGACTTTACTTGCTTACTTTATGCCTGAGACCAGGGAATATGTGCTTTGGACAATTTCAAGGAAAAAAGTCATGACAACTAACTTTGGGACTTTAAATGGACCGTCCGCAGAGGCACTCGTTTGTGCTACGGGCGGCAAAGGTGCTTGGGAAGCCACGAGAGCAAGCAGGACTGGGACTGCAGCTCGTCTCCTCTCTGCCCTCGACAACCCTCCCAGCTAGCCCCGTCCAAGACGTCTGTCTGTGCTAGAGTTCCAGTCTCCAGAATCAGCCTGGGTACAGGAGCCAACTGTGTCTTCCGAGCATCGAGTGCAAACATTTGACGACAAGGTTATACACGCTGAAGTTAAGGAAAGGTCACATGCCTCGCGCTGCATTTTTAATACATAACTGAAGACTTCTATTTAGCAGAAGGTGTCCATTTTTTTTCCAAGGCACATATTTCAAGAAAAGATGCACAAAACCCAGAGAGTAGTATTCTGGTGCAGAGATGAATGTATGTTACCTTAAAAGGACTCTCCTAGTCTTTCTGGAGAAGCTAAAACACAGGCCCAGAGTGGGGTGGGTCAGGCATAAGTTCACAGGAGGACAGGGGCTTAAATAATGTCACCCAAGTCTTCAATTGTGTTGTTATCAGCTGGGGTGTGGGGGAGGGGAGTCTGCCCAAAACAACAGAACATTCCAGGAAAAGACCGCGGCGATTTCCTAACAGCCACCACCAGGGCAGCCGGGTGACTGGCAGCAGGCTGGCACTGTCTCCTTCCTTGAAAAGCAGCATTGAAGGGCACGCGCTTCCTTTCCTCTGTTAGTGGGAGTACCGGGGGCGGACTGTCCATCTTGCCTCCGGGCATCCCTACCCCATGGTGTTTGAGGCTGCAAGGCTACACGGATAGGGACAGGGACGTGTGAAGAGATGAAGAGCACTCCCCATCAGGCCGCCCTCAGGAGACTGGCGCCCACTGTGAAAGAGCCCCATGGAAACAAGTGCGTGCTCTGTCATGCAGCTGATGCAAGACTGATGCTTCCGGACAGACAGTGCCTTAACGCTCAGTCTTATCGGATCATAGGGCGTTCCAGAATATGATGTGACATGAACACAGCCAGTGCAGTGCACTCCGACTGTTATCGGAACATCTACCCAGAGTCTGAGCGCCACTGGCAAGCAGATCCCAGTGGAGGTCCTCTTCTCGAGGGACACTGGTGAAGGACCCGTGCACCCCGCTGCCAGGTGGGAAGCTCAGACAGAGGCCCTTCTGCCCACCTCGGGGCGCGGAAGGGCTGCAAACTCGCTTTCTCACACCCCAGCCCATGACCCTCAGGCAGCTGTGCAGGGAGGAGAGCAGCTCGGATAGAGCAGGTGTTCCACCCTGGCATGTCCCAAAGCCTGCTCGCTGCAGGGCACACAGCACAGTGCCCAGGGTGCAAGGCAGGGTGTGGGGTGCGACCCCGAGGGGATGCAGATTAGGAGAGCAAAGCCTCTCCTCGGCAAGTTGGCACTGACCGGGAAACGAGCACGAATGACTGAGGATGGCGACGTTTAGGGAGGGTGAGACTGCTGGGACAAGAAGGCCTCCAGACCCACAGAAAGTGGCTGCCTTTCACAAGCTGGGGTGAGGGCAGTGGGATTTGAAGTGGTAGCTGGATTTGTGGGAGGAGGGTTAGGCTAGTTCTAGATTTAGAAACTGTATGAAAGGGCAGGGGCTGGACAGTGGCACAGCAGGGGTGCAGTGCTCTGGAAGGCCCTCATATGGCGGTTCTGGGTTTGTGGGAGACCTCCCCAGCATGCCGGTGCTCACATGCTTGTGAACAGGGTCAGTGGGCTGGGGGTGGGTTGCGGTTCAAGATCCTGCTGCGGGTGCCTGTGTACCTCCTCCTGCCAACTCCATCTCTCACTGTCCTGGGAGAAAGAAGCTCCCCCCCCCACCTTTTTTATTTTTAGAGAGAGATTTTTGCTATAGGGTGCATGCACTTGCCAGAAAGACAGAGAGACAGAAAATGAGAAATCACCCTTTGGGGGTGCTGGGTCCAAGACTCGAACTACAGTCAACTACATGGGAATCTAGAGATGTAACCATTATGCCATCTGCTGGTCCTGAAGAAAACTTTTTTGAAAGGCAGAGATACCCAAGTGTATGCTTTGATGAGATGCTCCTGCAAGTGGCTAGCTGTAGCTGGCTATGGTAAGAAGGTACAGAGTAAAACCATTTAACTCATTCATCTGACAGGAGTAGAGGCTTTACAGCATCCTGAGACCCTACCACACAGCGGACAGACGTGCAGAAATCAACATGGTTAACGTGGTTCCTGCCACCGACGACTGAGCAGTCTGAAAAGGGGCAGAGCCATCACTGCACCATAGGACAGACACGGTCCAAGAACAGAGAGTAATGGGACAGCCCGAGACACCCAAGCAGGCCCAGAGGCGGCGGGAGTTTAAGCAGGCCTGTCACTGACTGTGCAAGCAGGTGGCAAGATTCCAGTTTGCTTTGGGCAGAATAAAGACCAACTTTAGGGCCAGCAGGTGGCACAGCAGCTACAGCACTGGACTCCTATGTGGCCAGCTACAGTTGGAGTCCTGGACCCAGGGGCTTGAAACTCATGCCAGGCGTGTGTGTGCACATGTCCAACACCCCAAGAGGAGAATGGAGGAGAAGGGATTGCAGCATGGCCATCCCCACAGGGTGATTTCTCACTTTCCCGTTCACTGCCACTCTGTCTCTTTCCTTCCCAATGGGCCCACATGCCCTAAGACAAGAACCTTTAAAAAAAAAAAAAAAGATGAACTATAGAAACAGCAGAAAGTGGAGAAAAGGGGCCAAGAAGCAGAAACTGAAAGGGATGGGCCTGTAAGAGGGAGCAGCATGAGGAAGGACGGGGACACAGGTACGGCACAAGGACCCTGAGGAACAGAGGACTTGGGGGTTCCTGTCCACTGGGAGGAAGAGGTGGCCAGCAATGGAACTGGAAAGAAGTGGAGTAACATGGAAAGGGACAGCCCCTAGAATGCTCACAAGCCAAGTCCACAGTGAGCACACAGCAGGGCAGCCATGTGTGCAAGCCAAGCCCGGCAAACGTGCGGCAGGACAGCCATATGTGAAAGCCCACAGGCCGAGGGAGCCCCTCGGGCCCGGACGCATGTCAGGCAGAATGCGGCCCAGGAGGCTGTGTACCCTGGCTGGCTCCCAGGAACACACTCAGCTCCTGCTCGTCCTCGGCTACGATGAGACCTGCCCTTTCCCTGTGGGTCTCCTGTGTGACTATTGCTTTCAAAACTGCTCACTAATAAGTTTATGCAGAATCACCCTCTGATGTTACTCTACATAGTTTGGTTTGTCTTCTCGAGGCATAAACTCAAATTATAATCAAGCCCCCTGTAAGAAGTCTGACCATGCTAACTCAAAAGGAAATCTAAACCCTTGACTCTCAAAGGAAGAGCTTGGCTTTTGGCTTCTAAGAGGACCACAAGGGCTTTACTCACATGACTCGGCCTGAAAAATGGCCTGGACAGGGGAACCAGCAGTTGGCGTAATGGCTGTGTCGCTGGACTCCCACGTAGTCAACCGCGGTTCGCGTCTCGGACCCGGTGGCTTAAATCTCACGCCGGGCACGTGTGCGTGCGTGCCCAAGATCCCGAGAGGAGAATGGAGGAGAAGGGATTGCGGCGTGACCATCCCCCCTGGGGGGTGATTTCTCGCTTTCTGTCTCTATGTCTCTCTCTGTCTGTCTGGCGAGCGCACGCGCCCTATAGCGAAAACCTCTCCAAAAAAAAAAAAAAAAAA